GGGGGGGGGGCGTACTCTTATGCTTTGCATGCCTTAGCGGTTAGACCATTGACCACGCGTCCTCGAGAGGACGGAGCATTGTTCCCACAGGACCGATCACCGATGGCCAATCGTTCCTTCCTACTTTGCCAAAGGTGGCTCAAAAATGTCTTCCCTAGTCTGTCTATCCTAACGATATCCCTTCTCGCCTTTTCAAACCACTTCCTACTCCCCAGTACAGCTACCGTCCTCTCCTCTCTATTCCATGCCTCAAACATCTCCCTGTACCTCCCTTCTATTTTTCCCAGCTCAGTCATGTACACTTCCCTCTCCTCTTCGTACCACGGACCGCGACTACATGAACACGGTCTTCGCATTCAAGCCGCGATCACATGTGAACTTGTCGTCTTCGTCGTCTACCGTCCTATGTCTTCGTCGGCGTTCTCGAAGGCCTATGTCCCCGGTCCTGAATTTGACCTTAAGCTTTGTCCCTGCATCCGCCATCGGTGTATTCCGCCACTTACTGCCCCCTCACCGTTGGTGCGTGGGGATGGTTTGACCCGCATTCCCTCAAAAGTGACGACTAGGGTGACGTTCCCAAAATATCGTCAGCAGACTACTACTACTGCTATACACTGCGAACTGGTATTCAAACGACCGCAGTGATTCGCGCGAACGTACGTGCGTGCTGAACACCTACTCTTTCCATTCATTCCCGAAAACTGTCACTTGGTTGGGAATCTCTGGTGAACACCATGTCGAATACTCCGCGATGATGAAACAATTCACAGTGTATCTGAGCATCGTGGGACCCCTTTCCGAGTCATTTTTCAGGTCTCGCCTTCTTCACTTTTCACATGCATGCATGTGCCTTCTCCGTGTATTATAAAGGAGCTCCAGCTGTTGGAAGCAGCTGGGTCCTAAGGTAAAGAAAGAGGTACGGTCGCTTGATGCCTTGTCTCCACGATTGTGTAGAAATGAGATGTTGCTTGAATTGAGAGCGAAGAAGGTCTGATTGAGGAGGGGATCCTCCTAGCAACCAGGGGGCACGCAGATAGCTGAGTCCTGATGTGGTATGGTCCCTGAGAGGTATACCTCACGGACATCCCACATCCTATGCTAGACCAAGATATACCCTATCTAGGCCCTACAGCAGCAACACTCCTTAACAGTATGTCACTACTTCGACACCACCTTCGACTATTCCCGGCCTCCTCTTCTTCTACCATATATTCGTCCCGGGTTATTATTTCGCGCTCTTTCTTTCTCATCTTTGCGGGGTATAACTGCGGTAGGACGACGTTCTGTACATAGCATATGACGGAATTTCGGTATTCGCTCTCGATTTCTTTTAAGGATTGATGATGTGCTGTTGCAACCCGTCACGCGACAAAATAAAACAGTAAAGCCACGTCCGAAATGCAGAAGATACTACTACTGCTGTGATATCAAACATTCACTGCTGCTTTGACTACATATAACTATTGGCTACGTGCCTCTCATACGGACGGGCACCTTTTTCGTTTGATATGTTGCATTGCGCTCAAGGGCACAGACAGGTTGTTGCCCGGTTTTTCGTTTCTCAGTTCGGGTTTTTTCGCGCTGTATGCATACGTACAATGTTTGCCGTATGCAATTAGATCGCCGACTTCGAGACCGCGTGATTGGACAGTTCATCTTCCTATTTTCTGGAGATAGATGTGCATCCACTCCGCGCAGACATTTCCCCGTCCTGGGACGGGAGTCTGGTCGCCCGCCCCGTTGGGGCGCGGGGGGCCAATCGTTCCCCCTAGTACAAGTAACCACAAGAAGAGAAGCCTCAATTCAAGCGATTCTCCCCGACGGGTTGCTGGGCATGACACAACGCAATCGGTTGGCGGCTTTGGACCGGATGGGCTGGATGGATCCTGTGTTGGTGGTCCGTTTTGATGGGCTCATATCCTGGTCAGTAGGTTGATAGTAGGCCGGTGGGGTGGCGATGCAAACTGACGTCCGCATCATGTAGAGCAGGGAGAGCAGCACGGTCGAAGATGTCAGAAGAGGTTGAAGGCCGTCTCTACCCCGTACAGGACACCGTTTCTTTCTCTCATGTTGGGAATGAATGCCGTCCTCAGACGTTCTTTTCCTCGCTGTCCTGAGGTCATATTATTTGCAGAAGACGACAGGACGTCCTGAATGACACGCAAAGCACTAGCTTCCGCGATCAGTCTCGAGGTACCCATCAGTACAGAGCGAAAAACAACAAGGCGGTAAAATGCAGCATGTCTCAACTGTCTTGATCCGCAAGGGTGAAGTCGGGCATTCTAGTGCCCTCCCGTGGGGGATGCGGATGAAAGTTCCACACACACGCGCACGGATATCGAGCGATGAGACTGAAGCTTAACAAAAATGCTTCCGATATGGTTTCATAGTTTGGAACGCACCGAGACGACCTGAATATTTCTCCTGACCTTGTCTATCCACGACCGCATATATACACGGGGCCGTCAACGGTGCACGCCCCCATCAAGGGGTTAATGCCTGGAGCAGTTCGCTTACTGGAGGACATAAAAATACCACTCATCTGTGCGCGGTTTCACCGCGGTATATCAAGCCAGAAACGGAGGAGCATCTGTGCGCGGTTTCACCGCGGTATATCAAGCCAGAAACGGAGGAGCCGTTCGTCGCGGTTTTCACCAGGGTGTTGATAGAAAGAATTATGCATCGTCAGTCGTGGTCGTCGAATCTCCTATGCTGAGCCGAAGCAGAGGGTAGAACTCAAAAACCTAAGTGTTGTCTGAAGGACGGCGGTCGCTTCTATCCCCGTACCAAATTCACGGTGGGCATCTCGGCATTGTCATGTTTTGGAAATGTTTCAAAACGTTTTGGGAATATGACACCACAACTCCAAAATTTACTTCACCAATACATACATGAGCTTGCGAGCATCAAATCACCTTGTAAACACAGTACGGGTAAGAAAACGAGTTCCAACACAACACTCTACGACCCCCTGAAAGACCGAGCCGAGTGACCTACATAAGGCGCGAACGAAACAAATAATGTCGAAATACTCCTGCACAGACGCCTCCTGCGTCCAAGCGCCTTGCGTCTTTCATCACCAGGCTTGCGCTCGAACAGCAAATCGCTCGAGAGCTATCAGCTTTTGTTCCCGCCCAACCAATCTCCTGAAGCTACGATGTAGACAAGTACAACACATAACGTGGCATGCATATTGTTACAGAACTACTGTTTCATTCCACGTTGAAACGTAACCATGCGGTGACACCTTTCGCGTCGCGCTTCACACAGTGCAATTCACGGAAGATCACCACTGGCAGAGTAATACACAACAAAAAGTGGAGAATGGCGTATGGCGGGCTCTCCGACGAGCAAATCGGTTCTCCGACAAGAAGAATTTCAACCGATCGTACTAGCACAGCGCAGACAGGGAAGACTGCATAACCTACACAAAACACACATATACGCCCCGCAACACGGATATTACAGTTCCAGTACATAAATCCTGTCATACAGAGCGTTCAAGACGGCACACCAGCACTCGGATGTATTTGCAAAGCAGCTACGATGGCCAGCTATGATGGGCCTTTCGCTAGCGACCAAGAATTTAGCACGACCTCTATGATGGGCCGATATCTATCTTCTCTGTTGCGCTAGGGCCGAAAAACTGTGTTTTCCAGAAAAAAACGAGCTGCTATAATTTGGTGTTACCCTCCACACCCCAACAGACAGTGCACTACCCCAACTAAAAAAACGCAATTTTCGAACGGTCGTCCAACTCCTTGCGAGGCGACCCGTCTGAGCAATAGAAGTGCGCGTGGGTACCAAACTAAAAAAACATGCACGTTCTGCGCGGTGCTAGGTGAGGAAGTAAAAATCACCGTGACCGTGGGCTGAATACATGCAGTTTCATAACCTAGAGAATCAACGGCACCACAGGGGGAAAACTGCCGAACGCCTCCTACCGGCGAACAGGAAACCCTTGTCTAATTCGGACACGCCTCGAATGGTGCATTGAAACGAATTTTTATGGCTGCATGGCGATCACACCCCGCTCGCACGTTCCACCCATGGCGAAGAAATCAAGATTTCTTTGCAGGATATCAGCCACGTCGGATTCATCTGCGCTGCTAACATGGTCCAACTCGCAGGTAAATCGGGGCTTCACGAGGGGGATTTCCCAGATGGATGCGGTCTGGAAAAGGTGGTTCGTAACCCACTCCTGCGGGTTGAAGAACCAGATTCCCGGGGCAGCGCGCTTGTACTGAAGCGCGGCAAGCATCTGTCACGATAACGCAAAACGCCAATTCCGTTAGACGACGGTGAGAGGGGGGGGAGTTGAAAGTCAGTCATCAACTGCTACATTGTTTCACCTTAGCCGATGTGCTCCCGTCGCCTTGAAGTGGTTCGACTGCTGTAGTTTCTTTTGAGATTGTTGCTTCAAATGTAGTTCGCATGGTCCAACGGGCCCATGATTAGGTGTCGCGAAGAACATGAACATTGAAAAATAATGCACCAGCCGAGGCACCCTACAGGTGTGCAATTCGTCAACTTGCACTTGATGTACCTCCGAGCTCAAACTCATAAATCACCTGCGGAACGGCGGCGGTGTCGCCGAGGTCGAAGACGTCCTCGATCGCCCCGACCGCGTCGTTGACAGTTTTCTCCGACGCCAAAGCTGCCCGAAGGTCAGCGTTGGCCCCGACCGGCAGAATCAGATCCGTACCGGTGGTAAACGGTGGCGCCTCGAAACCGAGCACGTTGGCTGTTCGATCTGCGAGGTCGCCGCTGTGGCCCTTGCCGAACACAACAAGGAGATCCCCCTGGGGTGAGTGGGTGTCCTTGGAGGTGAATGATCTGGAGACAACAGATCCGGTCTTGAGGTAGTAGATCAGGGTGGTGTTGGCTACGCCGCAGTACTCGTCCGCGAAGAAACTTGCGGTGAAGACACTCTGCGTGCTGGACACGCTCACACCGGGCAAGCCTCCGACCGCTCTGCGAAATTGGTTTGCAACAAAGCGATTGATGGCGATTGATGGAGCTGGGGTCAAGACACCGCAGCCAAAAGCTCCCCAAAATGACATGTGAAGTTACCAACAAAACTATCAGGACGCGCGGACCCGTTACCTTTGCACAGCACGAAACGCAAATTTATTAATAATATCTGGTCACACCCTAGACGCTGCCAACGGTGTTACCGATGAGCCGCACCTTTCGTACGCATCCACGGCGTCGACCTCGGCCGCGACCACGACGCGCATGCCAGGCACGAACTCAAGGACGCTCGAAACAGTCACTTCAATCTGGTCCACTTGAGAGGCCGTCCCGGCCACAAACGCGCACACCCTGTTGCGTTCGACGTCTTCCGCGAAGGGACGTACGGATTCCATTTCGAAGAAGCGGGACACCTCCACCCGGTCGGCAGACGCGGCGAAAGTGGGGGTCTCCACCAGACGTCGGCGGGTGTACACGTCCTCGCTGTCGGCCTGCAGCTCACGCGAGACCTTCGGGACGCTTTCGTCCTTCGCGGTCTCGGTAGTCTCCCACTTGTTCTTCCCCGACTCCTTGTTGGCGTCCCTCCACTTCTGCAGCTTGCGAGCCACCTTCGGGGCACTGCCGTCCTGAGTGGCGGTCAGGCGGCGGCGGTCGTACACGTCCTCGCTGTCGGCCTGCAGCCTACGCGCCGCCTTCGGGACGCTTTCGTTCTTCGCGGTCTCGGTAGTCTCCCACTTGTTCTTCCCCGACTCCTTGTTGGCGTCCCTCCACTTCTGCAGCTTGCGAGCCACCCTCGGGGGCACTGCCGTCCTGAGTGGCGGTCAGGCGGCGGCGGTCGTACACGTCCTCGCTGTCGGCCTGCAGCCTACGCGCCGCCTTCGGGACGCTTTCGTTCTTCGCGGTCTCGGTAGTCTCCCACTTGTTCTTCCCCGACTCCTTGTTGGCGTCCCTCCACTTCTGCAGCTTGCGAGCCACCTTCGGGGCACTGCCGTCCTGAGTGGCGGTCAGGCGGCGGCGGTCGTACACGTCCTCGCTGTCGGCCTGCAGCTTACGCGCCGCCTTCGGGACGTTTTCGTTCGTCCTTGTCTCGCTAGTCTCCCACTTGGGCTCCTCGAAGGTCTTCCACTTCTCGTTCTCCTTCCAATTCTGCAGCTTACGCACCACCTTGGAAGCGCCACCGTTCTTGCCGGTGCCGTTGGCCTCGTTGACCTTCTCGACAGATAAGTTGCTCCCCTCGTCGACGTTCTTACCGTGGATGAACAGAGTCTGGCCTGCGATGGCGTCTGTGACGGTGCCGTGGTCTACGTGCGCCTTTCCGACGTATGCAATCTGGGGGTGGACATACAGATTCCAGAGCAATCACAGAGTGGAGTGAGTTTGTCGCGAGATTTTTTTGCTAACCGAGCGCGTTTAGGGCGCGAAGCGTTGTCGAGTACATGATGGCTATATCGTCTACTTTGTGAACATACGCGACAACGAGAAAGCATATTTGAGCCGCGAAGCAAATGCTCCTGCAGGGATGAAGGCGAGTTAAATATTGTTGCCTGTTACCCCATGCTTCTCATTGTTGGAAAACATGCCCCAAAGAGCTTGAGCTGGATAACTTTTCAAAAAAGTTCAAACAGCCAAGCACCGCGTTTTGCGACGCTTGCGAAATTGGGTGACCAGTTTTGTAATATCAAGATACGATCAGCGCATCGACAAAGCGTGCGGGCTCTTACCAAGTTGGTGGTGACGAACTTGTTCGAGAAACGCTGGTAAAGGGGCCAGCTGTACGGGAAGTCTGAGATGGTTAGCCACAGGGCCACGTCGTACGGGTAGTTGTCCTCCCAGCGGGCGCGCGTGTAGTCCACGTACTCAACGAAAGCCTGGTCATTGTTATTGTAGATGGCGTTGCCGTTGATGTGGCCGAGGACGTGCCACATATCCGACATCATGGAGCTTGAGTGGAAGTTTGTGCCTTCGAGATTGCTGCCCTTCACCCAGAACTCTTCGTTCACGCGGAAAGCGGCGTGGTAAAGCTCCTCGAAGGAGCGGTCGGTGGCGACAAGTACGTCCCACTCGATGATGGCCAGGGCGTCATACTCAGAGAAGTTGGAACGAATGCGTTCGTCGAGGAACAACTTGTAAAACATCACGGAAGGTCCTCTCGGGTACACGTCATCCTGTGTATTTTAAATATAGCGGCAAGAACGTTGAAGGGAAACGCAGGAGTGAGTGTCGGCCGGGGAAGGAAACAAAACAATTGAGGGGTTGGCCCTCGCCCGCTCCTGGGGCAGGACGTCCACCGACATCACGCTACCATCTTGGCGTTAAGGTACATCGGTTTGGAAGTAAACCTGTGGGCGGTACAGTATTTCCGTATTAGCGTGGGAACCCCTCACGTTTCGTGGAGGGGTCTTGTTGTTGGGTGTTGTTGTTGTCTTCACATTAAAAACCGTTCCGATCTCTCCTACCCAGTACCTTCGTATGTCCGTACTGATCCAACACTCGACGCGGTCGATTCCCGTGGTCACAGGTTAACTTACCCCCAAAAGGTGAAGACTCAAATAAACTGGCCCCGAGGGGTCCGCAAGTCAATAGGAATCAACGACAGATATTCTGGGGTCCTCCACTCCCTCTGCGCGCTATGCGAGGTATCCACTGAGACTAGGAGTCACTATCACGGGCCGGGGTCTTAAGAGTCATTCGGTTTCAGAGGAATCCCTTTCTTTCATAGTTCATTAGAGAGAGGGCGACAGCAATCGTGTGAAGCGGTCCAACTGCTGTTATCAGTTCACGATAGACGAGCAGCAGACGGGTGTGTTGGTGTTCATTGGCAGCAGGCAGCGGGCGTTGGTATGCAAGCTGCAACAGAAGAGGGCATTCCATCCTCAACCCAACTGAACCGCCTTCGCGCGATGATGTAATAAGTTCATGAAGAAAATAGAACAGGGAGGGGGGATGCAGATCGGTTCGTCCAACCGTCACAAGACCCTGCAGCATCCTAACCCTACCCCTACGCCAAATTCCCCGATAGTGGTTTATCCAATCTGTTTTCTGAATACAAGAAACCTGTAAAGCCTACTGACCTAACTTATAGTGACTGAAGTGTATGTGACATCGTACCTCTCTAAGTATGGGTCAAACAGGGATGATGCGCAAACCAGGGAATAGGTAGAAGTTGGATGTGTCGAGAATTTTTTGTCTTAACGGACGTGCCCCACCGTCTTCTCGCCAACGAACGCGACAGAAGCATGTGCTTGACGCTGTACGGGCAACGGTCATCAGCATATTTTCATTCGCCGGAATGCCGTATTCGATAATAATCTCGAAAAAACACAAAAAGCGCAACCCCATCAAAACGGAATGAAAAAGAATATGACGAGTTTCTTTCAAATTTCTTGAAAAAAGGCACATAATTGAGTGATTTGTATTTTATCCTGATCAAATAAAGTATTGGCTTCAAGGGGCGAAGTCAAGACGTACGCGTCGTAAGTACAGGACATCCCTTTTGCCATACAGGACTACTGAAAAATATGTGAAGGGAAGTAATCAACCATGTTTTGCATGGCTTGGCCGTACGTCTTTGGTATCGTGTCCTAGAGAGGACGACGCCTTGTTGCAACATGACCGATGGCCAAATGTGTAACTATTTTTCTGCGCCAATGGTGACACGTCGCCGGGTGAATCATTATTAATGTTGTACAAGCTGGTCTGACCAAGAAGCTTACTTTCGTTCTTTCATGTCCCACTCTGCTGTTTCAACGAATTTAGACTTCAAATTTGGCGGGTGCTCGTATAAGACCATAGGGGATGCGCGGGTGCCGGAATTTTTCGGATCTGAGTTGATTTTAGGTATATAACTATCAATTGGCGGCATAGTTGGGATACTTCCTGTACTGAAATCAGCATGAAAAAAAGTTTCTCAGATCAAGCTGAAAATTGCTGTGCATGTACCTGGGAACATCGCGAGAGCAAAGATGGTAGTTTCAAGGCTCACGGCATCTTCCATCAGAAGTTATGGCCTATTAAAGAATCCGATACAACACACGAGATACCTGAGGCAACGTAAGGATCTCGCGATTCCCACGCTGTTTTTTCGAATTAGAAGCTGAAATTTCGACACATCCCCATGAGTACAACAAACAAAAAAGCCACTGCGCCATTTGACTTTTTTCTTTGTTTCTGCGACTTTTTGGCATAGCAAATATTCCCATGAATACTAATATCAGCCCAACTTACGAAATAAAAAAATAATCCAAATGGCGCAGTGGCCTTTGTGTTTATAGTACTCATGCAGATGCCGTGTCAAAATTTCAGGTTCTAACTCGAAAAAACCGCGTGGGAAATCCGCTCCAAGCTCCAAATTTGCGTCTTGGTCAGACCAGCTTGTACTTCGTATCCAGTCTTGATCACTTCTGGCATGTTGGGCCACTATTTACCTTGCATATAACACAGACAGTCAGTCATGAAGAGCAATCCAATGGAGCAGCAACAGTTTGATTCTCATTATTTGGTGTCTGGAACCCAGATTTTCGTATGGGTTTCTGTGGGCTTTTGAAGTCATGAACCCTCTATTCATTTTCGACAATCGGACACTCACGATTGCAAAGGGCAGGCATGTATCGTACATCAGTCTGGTAATATTGAGCTAAATACACACGTAACCTCAACCTTGTGTTCGTCTCCGCTCCCAAATATCTGTCTATACTACAGTATGTTCTCAAAGGTCACGGTCCCTTGTCCTGCATCGGATCCTCGACTTTGTTTTTGCTGAACCCCATTAGTTCGTCAAACATTCCCTGTGCGTGCTTGCTTCTCCGTAGAGCGAGGTCTCTAGCAAAAGTAACTGAGCAGGGGCGGGGTGAAACTGAAAACGTAAAAGGACGGCAATAGAGAGACTCATCAGCAGGGGACGAGAAAAAAATCTGGATACATAGGATGTGATTGGCTTACATTCCATGATCCTGTGTCCGGATATATTTCGTGTGCACACCGTTTCCCATTCCTTGACTCTAATAAAACAACGAAGAAGCAGGACGTGAAACTGGACTGTCGTCATGATAAAAAGAGTTACCACACATCAATGAAAAAAGAAAGAGCAACGACAACGCTTTTTTTCCATCACCGTGCACACAAATAGAAAATCCAAAACCATCCAAACGTTTTTTCGCACGCGGCCAAGTGTGGGGGTAGGTATTTGACAAGTGCTTCAAGGGCCTCGCGTGCTCTCGAAGAGGGCATGCGTGTAGATGATGTGCTTGGGTCTAATTCCGAAATCAACTCTAATTTCGAATCCAACAGCGACCGATCATGAGAGAAACTCGTATGTTTGTCGTGGTGGTCTCGGCACTTTTGGACTACAGCATGCAGGTCGTCGTATGTATGTTGAGATTTACTCGGAGTATGCATATGGGGATACTCAAGCGTGGGGTAATATTTCACAAATCTACACAACAAAATTTAATGGAATAAGTAGTGTATTTAGGTGGGGTGTCTTTGTTGGTTTGGTATTTTGTATTTTTTAATACAGGGTCCTCGGAAAAAAAGATAGCGCCAAGGAGAATCGAATCGACTACCGTACAGGTTAACTGCTTTCTCTTCAAGTTAGAATACAGAAGCCAGTCATGTAGAACGTGACGGGTCACCGTGGCACTTGCCGAGCCGATTTCAAGGAATTCGGGCAGGAGGTTTCGTCAACGGGCACGGGTGTGAAGGTGCTAATGTCGTATGCCCGTGTCTAAAGGCAGAGTGTTCGACCACTTTATCCACGTGTTTGAGGCTGTCCAATGGAATTGCATGATATGTCTCCCCCTCCTGCTTCACTTTCCCAGTGGCTACCCGCTTCTTGTACGCTGTGTGTCTATCATCTACATTTATCCATATCCTACCACGGTGCTTGTGGTGAGATTTCATGTCTTGAAAGGCGAGCTACAGGTGTTCCAGTATGTATGTACTACACGAGTCCCACCACCGGTGGGGCGCATGCGGTATTCCCCAACCGGCCACGTCAACAACTGGCCACGTTAAAACGTAAACTGAACTCTTTGGCTTTTATGGTGCGGCCCGCGATAGCCATGCAAGGCAGTGCGTCCCCAATGTTGAATGAAAAACCTCTCTACGAAGAGAGAAGGCCGTAGTTTTCGGCTGCCACTTGATCGAGCTGTTGGATGCTGTGCGGCGGGATTTCAGTGCCAATTGCCCCCCTGAGCCGCTGGCGACCTACGTGTACATCAACAACTACTCCTACCGTTGCTCGTGAGTCGATCGGAGTATTGTTGAGCAAGATCAAGCAGGTGGGGTAAAGCAAGGCTTTTTCCCCGTCCCTTGAGGTACCTGCGACGCATTGCGGTATTTGCCCCCATCGGCCGTGGCAACACCATGTGTACTTGTACTTATGATTTCGGCGGCTTCATGACCGGTTCCACGAGAACCGTCAACGCCAAAACACCCATTCATTCATTCATGCCCTGTGTTGATTGGAGTTTATTATAGATAGCGACCGCAACTAAGAAACGCTTATTTTTGTGTGGCTGTAACATAAACTCAGCGTACTATGTCGTTCAATTTATGACGTCAAGCTTCATATTTTTTTGTGCCGCCAAATCCTGCTGAATTTCTTTAATCGGCAAATTTCATATATTCTGTGCTTGCTTACTACTTCCACGCACGTTCAAAACGAAGAAATGGTTTGCACTGTCTTCCTCGCCTCCCGCACTCAACCCCGATTCTCACTGCCGACGGCTGTACACGAGCCCACTCCCTAGAAGCGAAATGTAGAAGCGAAATGTTTCAGCGGTGGTAACGTCTGTGGCTATCGCTACAACAAGGTCCTGTACCCCCCTCCTCATGAGTGAGGGCTTAAACTAAACAAATGCTTAATTAAACGCCGCATGATGCCTCGCCCTCACGCTGACATGCCAGCAACAAAAATCGCCCATCATCCACGTGAGAGGGGGGGGGGTGTACTCATAGTCGTGCATGCCGTAGTCGTTTCACCATTGACCTCGCATCCCTACAAAGCCGGGACGGAGCACGCCGGGTTCTCACCGGACCAGGCTCTCACATCACCAAGCGCGAAGCGCCGTGAGGTATTTGGCGAGTCGCATGAAGGGTGAGCTGCATCCTGCTAAGGGTGTTCGGCACCTTGTGC